TGTTATATGTGTGTTAAGTCTTTTAATATAACTGATGATTTTTCTATTTTCTTGATATTTCTCAGTGCTTGCTTTATAGTGTTAGGTATCTAAATATCCATGACTTTAATCTTCTTGTTACTTTTACCAATTTGAACTATCCCTTTTATTTTTCCTCATCATAAATTCTATTTTATCTACTGTTTCTATTATTACATTTAATTCATTTTTATTAATACTTGCTGGATGTCCATTCTTTCATACTTCTTGTTTTGTTATATAGTTGTCTCTCATGATATAGCATATAACTAGATCTTAGACTCTCACTTCTCATTTATTTTCAGTCTTAATACAAACCCTTTTTACTCTGTGTATTTTCTACTTATCATGATTTCTCCAAATATCTGCTAGTTTTTAGCAAATTTTCCTCCTTTTGGTTCCCTTTCAAGTTGTTACTCCTAAATTTTGAACACATATATGAATGCTTCTTTTATCTGTCCAAAATAAACAAAAATCTTGACATGTGTTTTCCTTTCCTTTTTTGCCATGTTGAGCAGCTTGCAGGAGCTTAGTTCCTCAACCAGCAACTGGACCTGAATCCGGGCAGTGAGAGCATTCAGTCCTAACCCCTGGACTGCCAGGGGCTCCCAGCAAGTTTGTTTAAATCTATCTCCCCTGGTCTTGACATTTGAGGAGATTATTATTGCAGATAGGTTTTTAAATACTTTTTACAACTTAATGTAGTAACATGTTTTATTTCTGGTTTCTTTAGGCATCCCTGCTTCTCTCCCTCATCTTCTTTTAAACTTTTTTTTTTTTTTTAATTTCCTTTAGTCAGTGGTTCAGAAGAAGAATCCAGGCCCTGAGCTTGACCAAAGCTTAGTGAAAGGAAAACATACAGCTCCAATTCTACATTTTGGGGGGGTTTTCACTAGGGAGGCAGCAGGGACATCCACAGAATGAGGTGCAGGGTCTAGAGTGAGCGTCAGGATGGGTCTCGGGGCTGAAGGACAGAAGGACAAACGCTGGGGCGGCGGCCCAGCAGCCAGGACGTGCAGAGCCTCCGGACGGGCCTTTGGAGAAGAGGTCCCGGGGTGCGCTGGGCGCAGGGCGGCCTGCGGAGCCCGGGCTGGTGCTCCCACACCGGCACGACGCTGACCGTGTTCACGGGTCGCGTCCGCCGCACACTGGGAGCCATACAGAGGGTGGTGTTCCAGAAGCCTGGGGCCTTGCTGTGTGTCTTCAGCCTCCAGAATCCTGTCGTCACTTCTTCCGACACCTCTGCGTCCCGTCAGACACACTCATCAGGACCACAGAGATAGAGAGACCTGGGCCTGGACCCCAACGCCCTTCCACGTAGGATCTCGCCGCCAGCCTCTCCCGGCAGCCTCTCCCGGCAGCCTCTCCCAGGTCTCTGAATCTGACGGCGCGGCGGGGTCTGACCCCTTCGGCCCTTCTGTTTTCCCCAGGCGGCCTCTCCCACGCCCAGACAGCACTCAGCAGGCCTTTCTCTCTCCTTCCCGGTGTCCTTCCTGGACCCCCATCTCCTGCCCAACCTCGGGATTTTGATTTTCAAGTTTGGTGAGAACTTAGCTCTTAATGGATTTCTCTGCCACTAAATCTTCCTTCTCATTGGATCAGTCATCTTTAGGAAAATATCTGATCGTGTCCTTCTGTTGTTGAAAGTGCTTTGGTGGCCGCCCAGCGCCCTGAGTGAAGTCCACCTTCCTTCTGCAGTCCCCATGACCTGGGCCTTTACAGCTTGCATGAGGTTTTACTGGTGGTGTGTGTATTTAAAGTCAGCTGTCCCTTGTGTTCCACTAGTCTCTTAACCTTTGTTGAATATCATTCTTTTTTTTTTTTCTTTTCTTTTTTGAAGAGTGTTCAGGTTATTATCATGTGTGACATTGACACTGGTGGAGAGAGTTGACCCCTACCAGGAATTATTCCAAATTTGCAGCTCATCACCGACTGCCATATTTTGCAAGAAAATCTTGTCTAGAGAAAGAATCAACCACTCTTAGTAAAATTCCTTTGTGTCCAAATAAATAAATAAAATAAAATTCCTTTGTGTCCAGTTTATAGAGAATACAACAAGGACATGCGTGCCCAGTTACTCATGTCGTGTCTGACTCTTTGCAACCCCTTGGACTGTAGTCCACCAGGCTCCTCTGTCCAAGGGTTTTTTTTTTCTTTTAAGGCCAGAATACTGGAGTGGGTTGCATTTCCGTTTCCAGGGGATCTTCCTGACCCAGGGATCAAATTCGTCTCCTGCGTTGGCAGGAGGATTCAGTCACCGGGGGAGCCCAGAACAAGGATATTATTCTGCCCTAAACTTTCATAACAGGGCAGAGCGACACAACTGGAGGAAAATCTTTCCTGTGTCCATGGGACAAATGGATTTTAAGAGATCTACTTGTAGACACATGATTCTTTAACACATTTTTTGAATTCAAAACAATTCTGCTTCTAAATGACTGCACCACAAAGCATAACCACTTTGCTATGAGTTTTCTACTTTTCAGGGAGTTAATAATTATGAGTCATTTCACTTTGCCACTGTGAGCAGAATTAAACTAAATGGAATAAACTTTACAAAATGTAGCATGTGTAATTATTGTAATTCCATAGACAAACTCTCTACTTCTACTTCAGAAGGAATGATGGTCTTCTGTTCTGATCACAGCTGGCATGGGGACCATGGACTCAAAACAACATGCCTCAGTCGCTGGAAGATTAGACATCCCACAATAAACACTCTCATTTTTTTCACTTGTAAAGAATCATCTATAATTCATGGCTCCTACCTTCTTGTCTATGGCGTTCTCTACCTGTTAACTCTTGAGTTCGAAGGTAGGTATCTTCACACACGAAAGAGAGCAGTCATGAGGTTTTTATGACTCTATTTGAAGATGGACAAGACTAATACATATGAAATTCCCATCACATTTTGGAAATAAGTGTTTCGTGCGGTGTTTATTGAGCAAAATTTTGTTTTTTACTTGGATTCTATATTTTTTCTCAGGGTATTAGATGACAAACTTTCTGCAGTCTCTTGTGTAGATGTTCAGTGTTTATTCCCTGTTGGTTAATCAAGACTAAAATAGTACTGAAATGAGTAAGTCGTGTGTTCACACCATCAACTTCCCTGTAATTTTGCACAGCAAGGAAGGGTGAAGTCAGACAGCACAATGATGTGTCATTGGGCAAAGAGACATTGATTCCATTATAGCTGCTTCCAGCGCAGACTTGAATTTTCGGAATCCTTTGGTGGTGTTGGGATTGAAAGAAAATCTCATCAAATGTTCATTTGGAGGTAACTGTAAGCACATCTTTGCATTCAAAAATAAGATAAAAATATAAGATGAAATTTAACAGTTATCTGTATAATACTTTACAGATACAGGTATTGTTTTTTCCCATTAGACTTTTTTTTTGTGTTGTTCTAAAGAAATGTCTTTTACCATAAGAAATATTGCTAAAACCATGTTTCAGTGATGTGTCCTAATCAACAGAAGGTCTAGGATGGAAGTTTATGATCAGTTTGCCTAAAAGTTATTTCTGTGCTTCAATCTAGAAAGCCCCAGCATAAACAACTAGATAAGCTCAATTGCAAAAATAAACTCAAAGAAGTGTAGGGGAGGGGTTGAAAAGTGGAATATTGTTTTCTGCCCAGTAAATATGGGATAACTTACTTTTTTTTTCTGCCCAGTAAATATGGGATAACTTACTTTTTTGAAAAAAGACATGACATATAGAAAACTGTTTCATTTTTAAGGACTGCTTTATTTCTACCTCCACCCCACTTTGCTGAAGTATGATAAACTCGACCGAAAAAGAAAGCCACAAGCTGCTGTCTGTTGGCCCACTTTGGCTGCACACTGGGGAGACCCCTGCTGAATGGCGGCTCCTCCTCTCTGAATTTCCTTGCTTTTGTAAATTTGTCAGTCTGTCCATGAACCTTGTTTGAACAGAGTTTGGTACTTAATGGATGATTGTATTGTATTGTAACTCACAGTGTAACACATCTTTTCTGTATTTATTTTAAATAAAGGCTTTCTAGAAACCAAAGGGCTTAAGCTGTAGGAAATAAAGAAGAAAGTGTGCGTTGTGTTACTCAAATGCCCCAGAAGTTTCTGCCAACCCAGGACCGTGGGGAGGCCTGGCTGGCAGCAGGAGGCAGGGCTGGGTAGTTTGGAGTTTGCCAGGGAGAAGACAGTGCTGACAAGTTCTGCAGCCAGAGGGTCTGTGGCCCCAGGGAATCTGATCCTTTCTCTGCCCGGGGACGTGGGCAAGGAGCCTGGCGGGGGTGGAGCCTACATTTCCCAACAAGTGGAAAACCTCTAGATCAGGTATCGAATGGAAGTGTTTCTTAAACATTTGCAGTTTAGGGTTTAAATCCAAGATTTGGCTAGGCTCGACTATACCAGTGGAATTTTATGAAGACAAACAAGTGTTTGAAAATCAATGAGGGTGGGGTTACTAGATGCAAAACTACACATATAGAATGGGTAACTAAGGAGGTCCTACTGCATAGCACAGGGAGCTGTATCCAACATTCCGGGATAAACTATAATGGGAAATACTATGAAAAAGAACATATAAACACACATATATGTGTGTGTGAGCTCAGTCGCTCAATCATGTCCGACTCTCTGCAATCCCATGGACTGCAGCCTGCCAGGCTCCTCTGTCCATGGGATTTTCTAGGCAAGACTACTGGAGTGGGTTGCGTTTTCTTTCTCAAGGGGATTTTCCTACCCCAGGGATCGAACCCAAGTCTCCTGCATCTCCTGCATTGGCAGGTGGATTATCACTGAGCCATTTAAAACTGAATTACTTTGCTGCACAGCAGAAATTAACACAATATTGCAAATCAACTATACTTCAGCAATAATAACAAAAAAATAAAATGACTTGGACAGTTGAAAGAAAAAAAGGAAAATCAATGAGGAAAAAACAAATGGTTCTAGAAATGATCCCCTTTCCTGGAGTACTAATATAGTTTGGGATAACATTTCTGATGTCTTCAGCTATTTTATTTTATTTTTTTTCCTTCAGCTATTTTAAAACAATGTATTAAAGAAATGTATACTTTTATAAGATTGATTACATCAGCAGCTGTATGATGAGGAAGAACACACATAGTCAGAAAAGAACTTACATTTGTCCGCATGAATAAACTATTAAAACAATTTCAAGTGATTGCACATTTTTCTTGTTCCTAATAACTTGAAATGGAATTCCCACTTTGTATATCAGGTAATTCGTGTAAATTCTTCCTAAATTATAGGTTGATAGTTTTGCCTCCAAAATACAGTGAGGAACACTGTATGGATTGTTTGTTTGTTTGTTTGTTTGGTAAAACTATTGTTGGGAATGCAATCCATTACAGACTGAAATCTCTTCTTTTTGAGAGAGTGTAGGAGAAATTTCATTTGGATACGCGTATTAGGACATAATGTTTTTTGGTGGAAAAATGGACTTCTCATTTTTTAGATCATGGAAATCTTGTGAAGAATAGTATCCCCTCTTTGTGCTGGGGCTAGGAAGCTCCACCTTAGAGTCCTCTGTGAAGTCGCTGAGGCCTTGTGCTCTGGCTGGTGGGTGGGTTAGCGACGCCATCGGGGCTGCTGCCTTCCCGCCTTCTCCCTGGGCTCTTCAGCCCCCCAACTGGGCAGGGTCACCAACTCTGAACTTGAGCATCTGTGAAATGGGATGATAGTGGCGCCTACTTCGTGGGGCTCTTGTGAGGAATAAAAGACATAAAATGTAAGTTCCTCTGTAGTAAACATTCTTTTTTAAATGAGCACTTAATCTAGTACTTGGCTTAGAGTAGGGAATGTGGAATGAACGAAGGAAGGAAGGCACTGTTGTGATTAACCAGAATTAAAAAAGTTTTTTAACTTCTGTCATCATGTGCTTTCAATGATGCCTGCCTACCTGAAATATTTTTAAAATGGCTCATTGTATAAGATGTCTCAGCGATCTGACATGACTCCCCCACGTCCCCACTTGACCCGATCACCAGGATGCTGCTGTGAAGAACAAAAACTTCCTGGTGGCTCAGTGAGTACAGGTAAGTGATTCAATAAGAGATTCAACCACTTGTCTCTCTCAAAAATTTCATCTTGGCCCCCAGGTTAAAATGAATGCCATGGGTTCTCTATAACTGGGGGGGCATACCAAAACACCTCCATGTGTCCCAGAACTGAATATTGGCTCACAGCCGGGCCCTGAGGTCCCAGAGACACATAGGAGCCCTGGTTCCAACCCCAGAAAGACAAACCCTCTTAACCCGTGGTTTTCCTTCAAGCCAGAAGCCTGGCTGCCTTCATGAACTCATCTCAGGTGCCTGGTATATCAACTTCACTGTTACTTTTGATTGGTTTTAATTTTTAATTTTCTGATTTTTAATATGCTTCCTCCATTTTAAGGGGGACATAGTCTGGTTATAAGTCATCAGTCAACCATGAAAATACTAACCAGAGAGTAGTTAACTTCAATTCAGTCTCAGGTTTGCTCTGTGTAGTTTCCGTTGCATGGGTTTGAGTTTGGTAAGAAGATGCAGCTTCCTTTTGTATTTCTCTTGAAACTTCTAAGGAGGCAAAGACAAGCAAAGACAGCCAGATAAGAGAAGATAAATTTTCTAGAATGGTTTTTGTTGAGATTATAGTCACTTGGTTAATCGGTTTATTTGGCAAAGTTCTTGCCCATCTGTATACATTAACACTATATTTTTTATAAAGAAGGCAGAATTGCGCCTAGTTACATGCTACACCATGGATGGACCTTGAGGATGCTATGCTCAATGAAATAAGCCTGACACATAAGGACAGATAGTTTGAGGTCCCACTTACAGGAGGTTCCCTCGAGGAGTTGAATTCATAGACACAGAAAGTAGAAGGGTTCTGGCCCCGGGGCTGCAGGGAGGGGAGTGGGGAGTGGTTGATGGGGACAGAGTTTCAGTTTTAAAAGATAAAGAATGTTCTGGAGATGGATGGTGGTGTGGTGATGGTTGTTCAACACTGCGAATGTACTTTGAATCGACGTAAATAGACTAAAATATTAAAAATAGACGTAACAAAATTTTATGTCTATTTTATGCAATAAAAAGTCACTAAAAAAAAAGTTGTACCCAGCTCTCCTCATCAACAAAATGTCTTGACTTGTTAATTATGACACTGACTCATCCATATCCTGACAACTCCTTTTCTTACTGTGTTGATTCTAATACCATCGACCATGTAAATGCTGAATTCTGCTTTCCGTCAAACTGTACTCCATGAGGTGACTGATTAGACCTCAGGCAAAGGTTTCTGAGCATTTGTTCCACTTTGGTCTCATTACAAGTGCATCTGACTACCCACCGAAGAGATGCTGCAGCTTCTCATATCTTCTTTTCAGTTCTCTTAGGAAAGTGTGCATCAACGTGCACATGCAGTCAGCGATGCATGGGGAAGCATAATGAGATTTGGGGGCAGAGAAAGTCAATGGTTTTGCTGCTGTAAGAACATCTGGTGTTAATAACAACCTATCTGTTAAGTCATTAACATACTGTGGGGATTATAAGAGGTGCCGAGGAAAACACTCCCTTCCTTCTCTAACACGGGAAATCTTTCCCAAGAAGGGGTCCTCCCTGAACTTGTCTTTCCTTCAGTGAAAACTGCTCTTCGGCCTACTTCCTTTCCTTCCATGAAGACATGCCGTCATGAACCACATCTGGGGAATTCTGTATCAGCTCTGCTGCAGCCAGCTGTTGCCGAGACCCTTCGATTCAAGTTGAAATGAGCAGTTCTGAGGGCCTCCACCTGCTGGGAATTCCTGATGGAGTCATCCCAAACTGCAGACTCTGAGACTATGTGCCTGTGAACCCCTGCGACTATGAGTGTGTTTGCCATGATGCTTTGGCCTCCACTGCGGATCTGCACGAACACTGTGACTGAAAGTTATTAATGACATCTGTGTCGTTAACCAAAATAGGTGCCCAAAGTAAAAGAGAACCCATGTTGCAATAAGAATAGGATTGGGGGTCATTGTGGAGTTTTCCTCTGAGCAGGAAACCAGGACAGATTGTTTAAACAGCCGATTCCCTGGGAAGGCTAGGGTTTCTGGCGTGGGGGAAGATAAAGAAGGCTTTCTCTGTACGCGCCTGGGTCCATTTTGCACAGATCTGGAAGAGATGACTGGCTGATTATCAAACTATTGAGAAATTCAGGTAGACACCTTAAAAAGGTGCCCTCAGGCTCAGATACCACGGAGAGATGAAGAAATCGTCACAAAAGTCTTTCAAACAACATGCAGGTTTCCACCATGACCAACTAAGCCCAGACAGACTGACCCCAAATTCTTAAAGTTACACAAAAGATGATCCCAGAGGAAGCAGCTCAGTGAGAAGCTGGGAGAACCTGGGCAAGGATCACATTAGAGACAATGGTGTGTGTGTGTGTATGTGTGTGTTTAGGAGAAACATATAGTGTCTATTTCACTACTACAATATTCATCACCTTCCAGAGAACTAAAATTTAAGAAACAAGAAATCATTTTCAACACCAAAATGAAAAATAGTCTCTTGGTTAGGTTCAGATTCCAGCAGGCTGAAACAATTTCGTAAGGACTATCACAATTTTGCCTCCCATCAGGGCACGGGATCACCATATGCTGAATTCCATACTGAACCACTCATGCTAATGGGCTGTTTTCTCTTCCTCCATAATCTAAACACAGAGTTGTAATCTCCGAGTCCCCAGGTTCTAAGAAAGGGAAAGATTTCAGGAAAAAACAGCAAGTTAGGATTGCACTAATGTTTTCCATTTATACATGAAATTGTTACCTACTCCAAACTGTATAAAAGCAGGCAGCATATGTACTGTTCTTAAAACAGCCTTTATTGAGGACTACTGGTTGAAAATTTACATCAAATATATCTCTAATCCACTCTGAAATCTGTAAAGTTAAGTTAGCTCAGAGAGCTAAAGGTTATTTCTGGTCTTAGGTACACAATGTCACTCTCCTTTCTCAGATATAATTTAGAAAATCCCAAGAAATTCATGCAGAGACTTAACATTAAATATTCATTAATAAGTAGTGCACTTAAATTTTTGAGCATGCATATTTAATAAATATATTTAGTGTGTCTTAGATTTCATACTATAGTTTAGACAGTTTCACTTCCAGCTTTCAGACAGACAAGGCCTCTTAGAAGATTCTCTTTTTTTGTATCTGTTTGTTTTTCACTTTTAACTATTTAGTGGAGTCTCTTAGGAACCTTTCGGATCTAAATGTCCAACAATCACACACCATTGCCTGACTTACATAGACAAGCAATTAAACACTGTTTCATTAAAGTGCCATTTTCCTTAGCTTGAAGGAACAGAGCCCCAATCCTGTACAAATAATTCATTGGACAATAACAAGAGAAAATAAGTATTTTTCTCCATCTATTTCACTAACCAGAATTCTTGTTTATTATAAAATTATAAATAAACATTAGTCCATTCGAGTTGCTGACTTCTTTCCACCCAAATATTCTACTTTACTTAGACATTCCAAAATGAACTTCTCTTGGGGGATTTCGGGGAGTTACATTTTGTGAAAAAACAGTGTTCTTAATCTTTGGTGGGGACTTAAAAGTCCCCAAAAGTTTAATATTTAACGATATTAAACAGTTGACATTTTGACAACACCAAGTATGTTGCAGAAGTGGTATAAGGACTCAGATATTTTGTTTTTATGCCATTTTTTAAATCGTGTGTTGACAAATGGACAGCACTGTAAACACGCTGGGCTCGAGAATGGCGCTCTCAACAGTAACAAACCCGTCCTGGCCCTCAAGCTGCCATTTTCCACGATGTACCTCCTGCCTCTCAAGTTACATTCTCAGATTCTGCATGCATTGTAGAGAAGCGGGTAGAAAGGAAATCTCTTAAAAGCACAGTATCAATATTATTGCAGAATCCGCGTGACCCTGAGTGAAATCATATGTGGGTGATAAGCGGGTGAGAGAAAGAAGGCAAGTCAGGAAAATCACGATTTTATGAGGAGGAGTGCAGAAATTTTGCTCATTGACTGTTGGTCTAACTTGTCAAGTTTCCACACATGGAAGTTATTATTGCAATACTGTTGTCTTAAACAGACCCAAGGATTTTCACCATGAATTCACATCCATTTCAAAATACGACAAAAAAATATTAAAGCTTCCAGTATGCAAATTTTAATCTCTTTGGGTGTCCAAAAATATATATGTGTGTCACTATGTCTCTATGACATTAATATCCATGTCATCAGTTGCAATGCGTGACACTTTTATTTGTGCATGTTTACTCTGCATTATAAAGAACGGTGGGCACTTCAATACTTTTCTGTGAATCGGACTTAAATCTGATCAAGAATACATCGCCCTTAGGCATTCAGGCTGAAAGCTGTAAGAATTGTCAACGACCTTCGCCAAGCCCGCTCTCGGAGTTAGTGCAGATCATTAATCATATTTTATAAACAGGGATCCTTCTCTCGAAGCTTCTCAGCCCTCTTACTCCCTCCCTGTCTCTCCCCCCGCCCCAGACCCTTCCTGCGTGGAAACACACGCACATGCACACACATCCCACATGCATGCAGGCTGCACTCACATTGCACACATGCAGAATGGCCCTGGCTGAGCGTCCAGCTTTGCAGGCACAAGCCCCTCCCTTGGCGCGCGTCCGGAGTAGTTTCTGTTGCAAATGCCCTAAGTTGGAGGGGCCCCGAGCTGCAGCAGCCGGTTACGTTAGCGAACGTCAGGCACCGAAATGCCACGGCGGAAGGTAACGCCTGGACTGAGGCGCGGCCTCCCCCGAGAGCTCAGTCAGGGTCCTGGATGGAACCCACGTCCACCGCGGATCGTCACGAGGTCAGCGGAACACTGCCCGAAGCCCGGTGGGCTAGGGCTGCCTCACCCCGCGCACCGATCTACGTCACCGCGGGCTCGGGGTGGGGGGCTTCTGCTCCCAGAGCCTCCCCTGGCCTGGTCCCCGCCTTCCCCTCCATCTGCCCGCTCCCGCCCCTTCTCCTTCTACACCACCCCCTCCCCCCACCCCATGGAAGCTTTCTGGGGTCAAACTGGAATTTCTATCCCCAGACTTGGTGCAACTAACTATGGCCCACGGAGAGAAGTAGCTGAGATGAGAAAATGGAGTTTGAAATAAAAAAATCACACGAACTTTTCAAGGATTTAAGGGGGGGAGGAAAGTGATATTTTAAAACTGATATCCAGCAGAACGCTAGTTCTGAAGTCTTCCCAGTGGGACCCCATCTTGATCTGCTGTTAATCTGCAGATACTCTGTGCCTGGACTCCCCTAAGCGCCTTTAGCAGGAAGTTAGATGAAACGCACACCCCGAGCGGTTGGTAAAGCACGCGCGGCTGGGACCACCGGAAGGATATCCGAGTATAAATCTGGATTCGAGGCTTAGCGCTCAGGTGCCCGAGTCGGCTGGAAATGCATCCCCAGCACGCCTGCACGTATGGATGCGTGCTCGTGTGTGTATCCGTGTGTGCGCGTCAACAGCTTCCCCTAACTGGATCTGCGGCAGCGCTGGCCCTCGGGAAGCAGGGGCGACAACTAGCCTCTGGGATCGTGATTCAGTGCTATTAGGGGAAGAATTATCTGTGTCTGAGTCATCGCGAGCCTCCAGACTTTCCCCGCAGTGTGGCAGAACTTTGTGCTGATGAGACAATAGTGGAGCGTGTGCGTTTCCTACAGGGCAGACCATTCCGGTGCTGGGGGAAGCCTCGGGCCTGCGCCCGGCTGCTGGGGCCCGGCCCCCTCCCTGCACCGCGTAGCCCCCGGAGCCCTGCCACCCGGGCGCAGCTGGCGCGGTCGGTCTAGTGCAGCGCTCGGCTCCGCGCCTCGGGCGCTCGGCTTCACCTTCAGAGGCGCGGGGCGTGCGCGTCCTTCTCCCCGCGGCCTCCGCCTCCCCTGCAAGGTAGGGGCTGCGGTGGGGTCGCGGCGGGGCCGGCGGGGGCGGGGGCCGCGGGGACCAGGCCTCGACGTGTGGGGGACCCGGCGTGCGCTGCGGGGGTTGGGGGCGCCGGGGAGGGACTCCGGGGCGCTGGGAGGGCTGCTCGCTTCCCCGGTGGGTAGTTGCTCCGCTCCGCAATTCCGGGAGAGGGAAGATGCAACTTCAGGCGGCCGGGCGAGCTCCGGAGAGGTGGCTTTTACCGCAGTGGAGGGGCGGGGTGGGGGCCGGAGGGGAGCGCGGAGGAGGCGCTGGCTTTGTACACTTCGTCAAAGGCGACGCGGGAGGAGGGGAGCTCGGATGCGCTCTCCATCCATTAGGAGACAAAGAGCAAATTGCCTTACTTTAAAGTAAAACGCTCCAGCTAATGAAGGTGGGTGATGGGGTTGCGGGGCCCGAGGAGCCGCTTCAGTTATTAAGGGTTCGGCGGATGGGGTCGTTGCCTGTGGGCAGCGAGCGCGGCAGCCTCGGGTACAGGTTTGCGGGAGGGGCGTCGCTTTGCCTCCCCCTCCCCTGGCTCCCTGCCCGTCAGCTGGGAGCGCAGAAGTGACCCTAATGTTAAAAGAAGTGAGAGCTCGGAAGGGAAGTTAGGGCAGGGGTGGGGGTGGGGGCGAGGGTGCTTGCAAAGACTCTGAGGAGCGGTGGGGAGGGGGTCTGGCAGGCGGGGGCTCCTCGGAGATGCACCCAGCCTGCCAGGGGTGGGAGCAGGGGTGGGGATGGTACTGATCGCGATTTACACCCGGGCACACACTAGGAAAGAATACTTGGGGTGTGTGTATTTGGGGAGGGGAGGGTCGGAAAAGCGCCTGGTCTGCCATTTCCAGGGAGAGCTAACCTACTGAAGAGTTACGATCATTATTTAGATTAAACTGCCTTGTGAAGTTTTAAAGAAACTTTGTATGAATAAGTTGGTTAAAAGCCAGCGGAGCTGGGTATTTAAAACAGTGGTTCGTGGAGGAGGGTTGGTGTACGGTGACAATCAGCGGTGGTGGGCTGGGGGGCCGGTGGACCCCTGCTATTAGGGACCAGGGAAACTGAGCCTTTTACCCGAAAATTGTGGGTCTGTTCGTCAGCCCCGGTTATTATCGGCGTTAACAAGCTCCCGGCTGCAGACCCGGATCTGCCCAGGAGCTTCTGGGTTGTGTGTCTGTATCCTACTCATTCCGCTGGGCTTATTGATAAAGAAGTAATTGGTCTCCGGGTGTGCAGAGATCAACTTGCTCAGCCCTCTTTTTAAAATATATTCATCCTGTGCCTTATTTAATCCAGATGCACAAAAAGCCATTTGCTGCTGCATTGTTGGTTTACATTTTTTGAAAAGGCGACTGGTGTAACCTGTGGAATTTGAAATGCAAATAAAAGCTCGTGGGAGTTGAGGCAGAACAAATCAGCATTTATAAAGTGAAAAAGATTTAATGTCTCTGAAATCATTGCGGAGGAAAAAAAACTGGAGAGGGGGAGTGCTTTTTCAGGGAATGAATTGTGACGTCAGGTCTTTTTGGAAAAGATGTTATTTTTAAGGTCTGAAACCCGGGTATGTAAAGTGCTTACAGGAAAAACAGATTACAAGATTAACATCTGTTAACATGATCGTTTATCTCCAGCCAAAAATAGGTCAGTTCTTTCTTAAGGAAACACTATGACTGGCGCATGCTTAAATAATAAAATTAAAATAATGAATTCGTAAATTAGGACCGGCGATGGTGATACTCTGACCTGTGAAGAACATTTTTTAATTTCGAGATCAGTGAAAGGTCAAAGTCCCTTTTGGGTGTTGAGGACAACTTCATCCCGCGTCCACTACCTACCCCCCCCCCCCCCATGACCCCTCCTTTTCACAGCTAGCTTCCTCTCCGCCCCCACCCCGATTGCTAATTTTTCCTTTCATCCATTGTGGAAGTATAAAATATATTTAAATGGATATTGTCTGTCGCCCCCGTTCTTAAAGAAGGCAAACTCTCGGCGCAGATGGCTAACTTTCAGAGCTCTGCTGTTGTTTTACCAATAAATGAAACGGTAGGGAGGGGGGGAAAAAAGGAAACAGCCTTGCGAAGTCTCCCTGCCCCCTGGGTGTGAGTGACGGCTCTTCTGGCCAATCCGCAGCGGCTTTCTCCATCCCGGAGGTAATTTGGGGTGTGAGTGTGTACGCGCGCGCGCGTGCATGCGCCCATGTGTCTGCACACTGTTAAGTCCGACCAGCCCCGCGCATCCGCAGGCTCCGGATTTGCACAGTTGTGAGCTGTAGACGTGGACACGCTTTTATCCGAGTCTGTGCAGCTAGGTAGGCACTCAGCAGTTTCTCCTCTGAGTGTCCTCCTGTAAAGAATGGGCATCGGAGGTGCTTTCGGATTCAAGGCGAAACCTGCAGAAGGGGAAGCCAAGGAGTGATGTGATTATGCTTCTCAGAGATTATCGAAATGTGTGGTTCCTCTCGTCTCGTTCCCAAGCGACAGGCGCGCCCCGCTTCTTGGGGTTGGAGTGTTGGAGCCCACTCGCCCGGCGCTAAGAGTAGCGAGATCTGGAATTGTTGAAACTGGTGTTCGCTGGAAAAGTGAAGGGCAGCGTGTACCTTCCAACTTCAGATTTTATTTTCTCCCTGCTGTTGATACTCTGTCCGTGGCAGAGCCTAGAATGTGACCAGTTCACGGTCAGGGAAAGTTCCGCTGCCCACCCGAGTGACGAACTCACAGGGCTGGCCGCGCGAGCGCGCACAATGCGCACATTCACGCGCGGAGAGCGTCCCGGGCCGCCCAGCGTTTCCTGCGGTTTAGCCCGGCACCCACTTTCCTCGGATTATGAGTGGTGGTGGCGTGTGGAAGTGTGCGGGCCGACTGGTCGCGCAGCATCTGCTCAGTGTTGGAGCCGCGGCGCCGCTTCGCCCCGGGGCGGACGGCGGTGCTGCGGGGAACGGGTTAAGGCCCCACTTGTGACCACTCCTTCCCGGAGACCTTCCCTGGGAGGGACCTGCGCCCCGGCCTGGTCCACGCGCAGTGTATCCGGCTGCGGGGCCGCGCAGCGGTCACCTGTACGGTCCATGGGCGATCCCAGGCGACAAGATCCTAACTGGGTGACGAGGTGGTGTCCAGCCCCGCGCCCCCCGCCCGGGCCGTTCCCAACCCCCAATCCGAGTACGACTCGGTCCTCCCCCCGCCCCCCATCTCTGTGAGCTCGTNGGGCTGGGGTCTGCTCGGGGCCCTGGCCGGGCGGGGGTGCGCGCGGCGGCGCGGATCGCGCTCTAGGGGCCCCGGCGCCGCCGAGGCCAGGTAATTGGTTTCTATTTTAAACTTCACTTTGTCCTGGCGGAGGTGGGGCGGTGGGAAAGGCGTGGCCCCTGGGCGATTACATAAGGATACGTACCTGATCCGGTCCGGGCAGGGGGCCGCGCGCGGCTTTGGGCGTGAGGGGCTGGTGGGCACCGGGCCCAGGCGTCCCGGTGCGGGGCTTTCGCGTGTGGAGTTCCTGCTCCCTGCCCGTGGGGGGCCCGTGCACCCCACGCTGGAACCGAAGGCTCCGGGGGCTGGGGGCCGGGGGCCGGGTCTGATGGCGGGGTCCACCGCGTAACAAAGGGCAGGGCTCGGGACTCTGGGCTGCGGGCGGCGCTGACCTAATGGCAAGTCACAAAAGTCTCAATTAAACGTGCCACAGAAAGGCATTTCCCCGTGAACCTGCCCTTATTCTCCAGTCTTGATTAAAGATGATTTAAACATTGAGGTGCTCCCACCCGGTGGCTGTGTGAGACATACCATTAAAGGACTGACCGGAGGAGAATCAAGGGTGGTTATTCTCCCAACAGGATCTTCTCCGGATTATTTTTCCTGCCTCCCTATTAATACGATTGGAGTATTTTGGTTGAGGAATGTAAGTGCTACTTTAGGGAACTCGGCATGCCTGCTATTCCGTAGGATCTTTCTGCTGCTGCGCAAAAAAAGAGCTGATTTTATCATTTGTTTGTTCCTTCATTTTCTCTGGCATTCTTTGATTGTGGCGTCAAAATAGCTGTGTATTTATATTTACACAGACCGGCCAGAATTAAGTTCCCCGCAAGCCACTGCTGCGCTGCTTTCCGTGTGTGTGAAGTGGGAGGGGCGGAGCTGGCCCGGGTCTGAGGGCTCCGATCAGGGAGAGGGACAGACAGTGCCTTGAGAGCAACTCCCAGCTCCCCTGAATGGGCCCTGGGAGACCCTGAGTTCTGAGCCAGACTCCAGTATTTTGGTAATGGAATTCGAAGTTTGATGTGTTAAGATACAAATACATCGTGTCTGATATTTTTCTTAGTTCATTAGTAGGGCTTTATTTTGTTTAACTTGCTAATTTGAATATAATGAAACGGTTAAAGCACTTTAACATTCGTAAAAAAAAAAAAAAAAAAAAAACATCCCAAGGGATGTGCCCTCAAGCTCACCAAGAAGAATGGGGGAAGTCTCTAAAATGAAACAGAACAGTCAAGGAGCCTGCCTATTTGGTAGGTAAAGGAGAGGAGTGCTGTTTCCTTTTATTTCTGAAAACTGCTGTTTGTCAGAGCAGGCTTTCCAAACGGCTTAATATACTGAAACTTACTCAATCAAGAACTTTTAACATTTGGATGTGTAATTGATATTAGTCACTGATGACCCAAGAGTAGTTTTCATCACCAGTCTTAATCCCATTGTTAATTTGTAAAGGACCTTTAAAGTTGACTAATTTAGAGATTAAAGTATTCTTAGGGCTCTGAAGTCCCACATGTCTAACTTTGTAACATGTCCCACAGACCAACCCAGGGTGAATTAAATGGGCGATGTTTGGGAAAACAGGTTGATGCTGAAATGGCCTTGTCTCTACGTCCATGAATTAAACTTTAACTTCACTTACCTTACCTGCTCCTACTTGAAGATATCTGAGTCTTACAGGTGGAGCGTTTGGTGTGGAGATTAAGTTTAGCAACAATTATGTAAAAAAGAAAAGGAGACTTCTTTAAAGAATAACTCGGAGTGGGGTAAGCTCTAACAGATGGTTTTCAGCCTTACTAAATAGGGAAAAATGATGATCTGACCAAGGAATTTAAGGAGAGTTTAGTCATGGATAGTTCTTGAAAAACCAGTACTTGGTTTATTGGGTCATTGTGGATTTTTATTTATTCATTTTCTAGGATACGTATTGGTCTTATTCATAAGTTATCAGAACGGCTCTTTTATAAAGAATTTTGTGAGAATGCCTGTAAGTCTGGCCAGAGATTGTGTTTAGAGTTTCAACTGCATTATACCTTAATGGCATAGAAATAGGAAACTGAAATAGAAGCCGATTCTGTTTAGTGGGAAGGAGCTTGTCCAACCATATGTGCTTTCCTTTGATAATATGTTTGTTTTCAACATTCAGAATACTACACTCTTTTGGTTTTTGTTCCATTTTCAACATCAGTGTTAGTTACATCGTTAAAAGTGGTATTTTGCTTATAATGTAATTAGATTTCTAACGGAGTAAAGCAACTCTGTTGTGCAGGAAACACATAACTTTTCACTGGTGTTTGATGGCCATATTTAGCTGGAGACAGCTAAATTTTCTCAGTAACAGGCATAGATTTTGGCAGAAGGAATAGAACAAATGAAGAAAGCAGAAGAAAGTGAAAAGACTTTGATCAAATATGTGCAGTCATAAATATTTGAAGATAGAAGTAGCATTCCTTCTTCAAAAGGAGATACTATAGGTGCTGTAAATGTTTCTACATTTCAGCTCTTGGATGGAGTTATTCTGGCACAGTTCTTTAAAAAATGCATCCCTTTGCTTTCCTAACTCCTCCCCCTCGAAAGTCCTAGAGGATGTGGGAAAGGTTTCTTTAACTCTTGCTGAACGCTGTTGGGGGAACACTAGTGGGGCCCTGTGCCGCCCTGCCCGTTGGCGTCCTCTCAGTTTACGCACAGCAGACCGAGCACCCAGCACGTGGACCTGACGTGGCTTGCTTAGCACTCGGCACCTTTGACCTTCTCCAGAATTCTGAAATGTCTAAATAGGAAAAATACATTGCATCACCGTCATCAGCTCCCAGATCCTTACTCTCTTGGTAGGAAACCACATCTCACTTGGCTTTGCATCTTTCAAGTGAATAGCAGCGGCAGGATGTGGCTTCCTTCTGCAGTCTGATCGGAAAGTGCAGAGGCCGGCTAGCAGGATGGAGCTTTGGGATGGCAGATGTGAATGTGGGGTGTGGGTGTGCGTCCCTGGGCACCTGGAGTTTGCGTATCAGCAAGTTTTTGACTGGTCGCTGGGCTTGGCGCTCACTGGTGGCTTGAGTTACTCATGAGACTGTGGCCCTCTTCTCCTTCCGGTCCCCTCCTTGGGGATGTCACCTCTGACCTTTTCCAGCTGATGACCAGCAATATGTTGGCAGCGGTCTGTTTGGGATTAAATGAGCCTTGGGACCATGAGAGTGACAGCATTTTTCAGATTCAAGCCTTGGTGTCCCTTCTCTCTGCCTCCAGGAACAAGTGAATTTAGGGAGGGGGGAGGTGGGACTTTTCTCTTTGATGGAGGGGTGACCTTTGCCCTGAGTGAGATTCCCTCCCCACCAGAGTAAGTGGGGGGGGGGCACTGATTTATAGGAGGGCACCCTCTGTATTTTTGGACTCCAGCTATGAATAACTTGCAGTTCACAGAAATGCTGGCAAATTGTCACAAGCCTGTGTTAAGAGAGGAATCCCATCAAATGTTTATTTATGAAGAATTTCTTAATAAAACTAACCTTATGGGAAGAATAAGGAAAAACTTTCACTATAAATTTGAAATATCTTACCCAGTTCTTTAAAAAGCATCTTTATTTTAAAATTAATTTTCTTCAAGAGAGGGCTGTTTTAGGGTTACCACTTAAATAGCTATAGGAGGAATATGCATGCAGGCCCCATAAATGCATTACTTGTAAGTGAGAGTTACACTGTCTGCCAAGGTGTATCAAGTGTGTTTCAGATGGACTGGTCAGAATGAGCAGTTACAACTGTCTGTTTGGTGTATTCTTTATCCCTCGCATCTGGCTACATGTGATTTGGGCAGCTGCAGCTTCTCGTTCCAGAGCTAAGGCTGGTTGTCATGTTTATGTCCAGAATGAACTGTTTTCCAGCAGCATATATTGGAATTGTAACAGAGTGTAATTTTTGTGGCTCTCACATCCCTTAAAAGTAGTTTTCCAAAAAAGCGCTGGTATTTAGCCTTCAATTCAAATGGCACTCAGAATCACAAAACAGAAGTAATTAGAAATGCAGCTCATTTTAGAACCCAAACATGTAAATACGTGTAAAATGATGAGTCAAGCACCACCGCAGAGCTTTGGAAAAATCAATTCAAAAAGCAACTCCATTGGGTGTAGGTAGATTTTCCTGTGTATTTCAAATATGTGTTCATTCTGGTAGGTTTTCTTTTTCTTTCTGTTCTGTTGTGGTTGATGATGTTTTGCAGTCAGGAATTTAATCAAGTCGTTACGTTCTGAAAACCGCCTTTAAGAAATACGTTTTACATGTGACCTGAAGTTCAGACACTTCCTCAATGGAGGGTTGAAAGGGGACCTAATGTATTTCCCTTTCAGGAGGAAAGTAAGCTGGCGCCGTCTTCCTCCAGAACCAGGTAGGCTGTCTCTCACCGTTTCTGGCACCCGGGACTGCTGTTGTCAGCTCAGCCCTCTGTGCAGCTGTCTTGTTCTTTTCTTGCTCACTCAGGAGATGGGGAGCGTAGGCTAACATGTGGTGTTAGCTTTCACGACATAGTTGAAGGGAGACTGAAAAATTGAGGTTTTCTGGTAAAACTCTAGTTTTTTCTTAGGCACTCGGAATTAAAAAAGAAACCCTTTCCCAGCATTATTTGATCTCACTCGAAAAACCCTCCATCTCCAGCTCTTCCCATGTGAAAGGAAAGGATATTTGTTTAGGAATTTCTGTCCTTTGTCTCAGAGAAGGGCAGCATGTGCCTGTGTATGCCATATGGCACTGTTTAACCTGTGTTGCTCGGACTGACTGGGGCTGTGTGAGGCGCTGATTCCTTTCAACATTCCAGAATGTTCTTTGAAAGTTGGGACAGTGAAGGATGCATCCAGAGTTGTGCTGAGAGGCTGTTCCTGTCTTCCGCAGCTTCTTGTTCAGTTGGTATTTGAGGGCTGTGAGCAAGTGTCGATTTTCTTTTTTTTTTCCTGAAATAATGTTTGTGGGAAAAGAGTTTGACATTAAATGTTGGCTGGTTGTGTGGATTCAGGAAGACATACAGCCCCATGTGAGTAGTTAAAACTTCTGCTCGTTGTAAATGGGCTGAAAGTTCGGCTGGTGAGACAGGATTTCCACTGTTTAGTTCCTGATTATTCTGGTGACTTTAACCTAGAGTTAAAAACTATGTGTTATTTTCCTTCTTAAAGAATTAGCTTTTTTTTTTTTTTTTAATGGACCGACAAACCCTTGAGCAGATGGCTGAT